AAAATTAGCCAGATGTGGTGGCGGGTACCTGTAATCCCAGCTACTAAGGAAGCTGAGGCAGGAGAATTGCTTGAACCCAGAAGACAGAGGTTGCAGTGAGTGGAGATTATGCCACTGCACTCCAGCATGGGTGACAGAGCCAGACTCCATATCAAAACAAAGAAAAAAAAGCCAGGCATGGTGGTTCCTGCCTGTAACCCCGGCACTTTGGGAGGCAGAGATGGGCTGATCACTTGAAGTCAGAAGTTCAAGACCAGCCTGTCCAACATGATGAAACCCTGTCTCTACTAAAAATACAAAAATTAGCTGGGCATGGTGGCCTGAGCCTGTAATCCCAGCTACTTGGGAGGCTGAGGCAGGAAAACCACTTGAACCCAGGAGGCAGAGGCTGCAGTGAACTGAGATCACTGCCACTGAACTCCAGCCTGGGTGACAGAGGGAGACTCTGTCTCAATAAAATAAAATAAGATAAATGTTTTAAATAAAATAAAATTCCAATCTGAGTTCTAAGAATACTCATTGTAAAGCAGATTCACAATTCCATATTTCCTTGATGAAACTGGCAGATGTACACAGCAACAAGTGACAAACACTCGCAGTAATATTTAAAGGATTCAGTCACACTACCCTACTCCTTAGCTGTCAGTTAAGATTAATGTCAGGCATTGAAGGAACAGATTGCTTGGAGACTGTAGGTACTAGAAAGAATAAACTTTACTAAGTGATTTCTTATTTGAAGCTGAATAAAAACTCTCTCCGTGTTTTCCTACATGACTTATGCCAGATCAATTATATATATATATATATATATATATATAAATAAAACAATTAGCATGTTTCCACTTCCATCTTTAAATATATAGAAAAAGAATCCTGGTCACATGATCTAAAGAGACAGAAACGACCTTCTAACTAGAAGAAAATAATAAAGTAAAATAACATTCATCCTACCCAACTTATATCAAACCCACAACAGGCTATTGTCTCATTCTGTCTTTAACAGTGTCTTTCATGAACTAAGGTGTATAGTGATTCAACCATTCTGTGGGTCAAGATGGCCAGAGGCAGACCTATGTTATTTCTAGTTAAATAATTGTAAGCTTGCTTTGCTTATGTACACTGAAGTTTACACCCGAACTAAGCTATATCAAATACTGGTGCAGTAAAATACAAATCAAGCAGCAACAGGAAGCCTAAGGTAAAGACTATCTGAGAGCGCTGTAAAATGGTGAAACACCGTGGAGCAGCTGCAAAGTAGGAAATACTTTGATCCCAGGAATGCCTTCTCAACAGAGTTTGCCTGAGACTCTCATAAAGAGGGCTTAGGCAGTATCTCTGAGAAGGGAGGGGACCTCTGCTCACAAAATGCGGCAGGATCTTTGCAGATGGGAGCTTGCAAGGGGGAAAAGCCTTGCAGCGTAGACGTTTACCAGAACGCCACAGGCTCTGCCTAGGTTCTCAGAATACGGAGTAATCTTGATTGCTCTGTGTCTACTATGCTCAGGAGATAAAAACCTGCTGGTGCCTAATCCGCTAAGCTTCTGATGCAAATGCACCATGGTGTTCTAGGTTTGCATAAGAATCATGTCTGCTACTGAATACTGCAGACCATACCTCTCCCCCTTGGCTATCTTGCCCACATTAGTTTCAAGGCCTCTCCCAATAGTTTCAAGTCCTCCCCTGTTCATCCCTCCCTGCTCTCCCACCCCTCGATTAACAAGTGTTTACACCTAATAAAAGCACGTGGAGCCCAGCGCTCAAGGCCAAGCAGTTCACCCCACCAGACGGTACATTGGACCCCTGGACCCATGCTGTGAACTTCCACTCTTGTGTCTTTGTCTTGATCTCCTTTTCTCACTCCATCATCGTCATCACCGCAGGGCCACAGGGCACCCATGCACAGGGTTGGGCTGGGTCCCAACACATTGGAGAGATGAAAAATACGTGTATATATAGGTTGAGCATCCCCACTATGAAAATGTGAAATCTAAACGCTCCAAAATCTAAAACTTTGTGAGTGCTGACATGATACCATAAGTGGAAAAAAAAAGGCAGAGGTTGCAGTGAGCAGAGATCCACGTCACTGCGCTCCAGCCTGGTGACAGAGTGAGACTCTGTCTCAAAATATAAAATAAAATAACAATCAATAATGTATCTAAAATAAATATCCAGGAGTGCATATTGATATAAATAAATAACTGAATAAATAAGTATGTGAATAAAATACTTATTTATTTTTTGAGAAGACCCAAATCCCCCTTACATAAGAATAATGGACACATATGTCCACCCTTGAGGAGACAAAACTTATTTTCCCTTCCCCCTTGAGTGTAGACTAAACTTAGTGACTTGCTTCCAAGGAGTAGAGTATGGACAGTAAATTTAAAGTAGAGCTACCAGGCAAACACTATCTTGGCCAGGTGACCAAGGTTAACATCACTAGTGATAAATCATCTTGACAGCCTATATTCCCTTGATAAGATGTGATGAAAATAGAAGCTTATCTCTGGTCTTTCTCTCAGAATCCCATAACCCCAGTGTAATATGAGAAAAACACCAGACAAATTCCATTTGAAGGATATTCTGTAGAATATCTGACCAGTACTCTTCAAAACTGCCAAGGTCATGAAAAACAAGGTAAGTCTGAGAAACTGTCACAGACAAGAGGAATCTGAAACACAGGTAAATGTACTGTGGTATCCCAGATGGGATCCTGCAGCAGAGAAGGGGCAACAGTAGAAAAACTACTAAAACATGAATGAAGTGTGGAGTTTTGTTTTTAACCACTTTGTTGAATTATGATTAACATGTAAAAAGGTGTACATACTTAATGCATACAACTTGATGAGTTTGTGGCTAAGTATACACCCATTAAACTGTGCTATAGCTGGAACCTGAGCAACGCCATTTTATAAAGGACAAAAGCTGTTTTCCAAAAATAAGTAACCCCATTCTCCTCGCAATAACTGCAGGCCTTGGCTTCTGTAAATAAGACTTCTAGTTTACTTTGCAGAATGCAAAGAGGTAAAGCTGCTTACCTTCTCTTATCAGTAACTGCCAGAGTTGCTAGCCTTTGCTTACCGGTAATAACCAGAAAAGGCAGCCCAAGATAATTTCATCCTGGCTCCTGCGACTTGACTTGTATTAAGTAACTAAAGATCTGTGGATTCTAATACTGCCCAGGCAATGTATAAACTAATGTTTATCTTGACTCCTGCAAACCACTTAAGTAACAATCGGAATGACAAAAGTCCCCTGGCCCTTGGAATGTCCGGAGCCCCTCCCCACCCTCGTCTAGGCCCAGGAGGTGATTTACAGAATCCACTAGCCCTGGAAATGTCTGAAGCCTTTCATCCCCATCCGTGCTCCTCACCCCCACTCCCAAGGTGGTTTTATGGGTATAAAAAGGTCTTGTCACACTTCTCTGCCATGGGTTGGAGAGACGTGAGTCCTCCATGGTCGCCAGCAATAAACCCTACAATTTGGCATACTTTTGTCTTGGTGTTGACTTTCTATGCTCAGTGCAGTATAACAAAACCATTACCACCAAGGCCCTAGACATATCCACAACCTCCCAAAGTTTCCTCCCACCCCTTTATTACTATTATTATTAATTTTGTGTGTATGTGTAACATAAACACTTAAGATTGATCCCTGTCCATCCCCACCACCAAACCCCTGGCAATCACCATTCCAATCTTGGCTTCTGTGAGTTTCGCTTTTTTTTTTTTTTTTTGAGAGACGGTCTCACTCTGTCAGGCAGGCTGGAATGCAGTGACACCACCATGGTTCAATGAAGCCTTAAGCTCCTGGAATCAAGCAATCGTCACACCTCAGCCTCCCAAGTAGCTGGAACCACAGGTGTATGCCACCACATCCAGCTAATTTTTTAATTTTTTGGTAGAGATAAGGACTGTCCTGGACTCCTGGCCTCAAGCAATCCTGCCATCTCAGCTTACCAAAGCATTCATATTATAGGTGTGAGCCACCCATGCTAGGCAGAGTTTCACTATTTTAGATTCCATATATAAATGAAATCATACAGTAGAGTTTCATTAATAATAAAGTATCAATGTTGGTTAACATGGTTTGGCTCTGTGTCCCTCAACCAAATCTCATGTCAAATTGTAATTCCCAGTGTTGAAGGAAGGGCCTGGTGGAAGTGACTGAATCATGGGGGTGGATTTCCCCCTTGCTGTTCTTGTGACAGTGAATGAGTTCTCATGAGACCTTGTTGTTTAAAAGTGTGTGATACCTCCCCAGCTCTCTGGCTTCACCATGGTAAGATATGCTCACTTCCCCTTTGCCTTCCACCATAATAGTAAGTTTCCTGAGGCCTCCCACCCATGTTTCCTGTACAGCGTGCAGAACTGTAAGTCAATTAAACCTCTTTTCTTCATAAATTACCCAGTCTCAGGTAGATGTTTATAGCAGTATGAGAACAGACTATTACATTGGTTCATTAGTAGCAACAAATCTATGTACCATAGAAATATAAGATGTTAACAAAAGGAGAAACTGGATGCGCAGTGTATAGGAACTCTGAATTGCATTTGCAGCTTTTCTATACATTTAAAATTATTCTAAAATTTAAAAATATTTTTTTTTTTAAATCAATACACCTTAAAAATAAAGAGACAAAAGTGAGGCATTGGAGGGGAAGGGAGTAACATTAACAGCAAGAGAGAGATAATCCCATCCTCTAAAATATCAAACACAACTGAGAGTGTTCCGCTAAACTAGAAAAAATAATTTTAAACCTTTTATCAAGAGCCCTTTGCAGATACCATATTAGTAAAAAATTAGAATCATTTGCTTCTCTTATACTGCTTCTCCTGTAATTCTACCAAAAACAAAACAAATGAACCAAAAAATCCCTATAATCCTTTGAAAGTTATTAAAGTCATCATAATAACCATAAGGAAAATATATATAAATGTCTCAGCCATACATGTATAATAAACAAGGAGAATCTAATGCATAATTCATAGAACACTTGCCTCTGGAGTTGCTAGTGCTTTCACAGCATTCAGATCCGATCCTGAACAGAAATTATTTTTTGCCCCACGGACAATGAGGCCTTTCCCCTCTGTCCAGTTTTCCAATTCAATTACTTTCTCCAGAAGTTGTAGCATCATAACACCTGCCGGAGATGGGAGTGGGGAATCACAAGCATATGAAGGCGACTGGAAAAATAGAAATTATTTATAAATCATAAGGTGTCAAGCATACTCTTAGGTCCTATATTTTATAAATATTTACTGAATGTCTACCAAATGCCTATTGTGCTGGGAGTATGGAGTATACAGAAGAGGTATATATGGCAGGCCCTGCATTGTAAATTTAAATTTGTTATATGTCTATCTCTCCATCTATCTTAAGAAATGACACAAATACATGATTAGGAAGAAGAATAAGAATATACTACGCCAGGCGTGGTAGTTCATGCCTATACCCAGAGTTTTGGGAGGCTGAAGCAGGAGGATCGGAGGTCAGGAGATCGAGACCATCCTGATTAACATGGTGAAACTCTGTCTCTACTACAAATACAAAAATTAGCTGGGTGTGGTGGCATATGTCTGTAATCCCAGCCTCTTGGGAGGCTGAAGCAGGAGAATTGCTTGAACCAGGAGTTGGAGGTTGTGGTAAACCAATATCACACACCTGCACTCCAGCCTGTAGACAGACCGAGACTGTCTCAAAAAAAAAAAAAGAATATGTCATGCTGTACGAAGAATAAGAAAATGATGATACGGTAATAAGAAAAAATTGTTTCTTAGCGTAAAGATAAAACATAGACCTTACTTCTCAGTAATACATCTTATCTCAGTCAGTATAGCTTTATGAGTATAATATAACTATGAGATCTTATGATATATTAGACATATGGTATACAGAACAAAGTGTGATTCCTAATCAGAATTAGTATAATAAGGTATTAGTTCAGGAATGAGTAATAAATACCATCTTGTTCCATGGTTGACAAATTGTCCTCTGAGGAGCTTGAGGCATACTATGGAAGTTCTTCACAGGCCTACCAACCACTGATTCTATGACTTACAGATTGTTACCTTAATATCATCCAAATTCTATTGGAGCTTCTTTATAATAGACAAATTTAAAATAGAAACAGCTGGGACTGGCATTTTAAGATCTAATCAATAACTTTTAGATATGCTTATCTTTGGTGATCTTCCAAGTTCATAAAATTCATGGTTTTCAACATGACTAATTTTATTTTCTTCCACCTAGGAAATGCTTTAGAAGCTAATGTATAAAGATCATAATAGAGGGCTAAAACCGGCAAAAAAATTTGTACCACAAGTACACTTCTTTGGAAAATAAATCCCACAATGTCAAGAACTATTATTTTCTTTGCCATTTACTAAAGTAACCAGGAGTGAGGTAGTTCCACAATAAATGTTTTATTATTGGTATTAACTCACAAATGACTAATTTAACTATCCTTTCTAATGGCTAATTATGACATACCGTCATGCACCAACAATGTATCACATATAACATGGTAGTTCCTTAAGATTATAATGGAGCTAAAAAAATTCCTATTACCTAATTAGTAACAATCATAGCCATTGTAATGTGGTACAATGCATTATTCACATTTGTATTACAGTTGCCTATAGTATTCAGAAAGTAATGCACTAAATAGTTTTGCAGCCTAGAAGCAGCAAGCTGTATCATATGGTACAGGTGTGTAATAGTTTATACTAAGTGTAAGTACACTGTCCAATGTTCACACCTAACATATTTCTTAGAATGTATCCCCATCACAAAGCAACAAATGACTGAATTTAAAACTGTAACCCTTTCCAAGGATGTCCTAGATGCTTTAGAAATATCATTCTTGCTCTCAAGTGATTTATAGTCTAGTAAGGGAAAAGAAGAAACCCACACTTTTAGTAAAAGAATCAATCTGTATAGGTTAATACGAACCTTTAATCATTCACAGTATCTAAGCTTCTAAAAAACAATGCTGGCGTTTTTTAAAAAAACCTTCCTTATGGTGTTGATTTTTCTTTGAACCTTTCTTAAGATGCTGAAATGCTGGTCGTGAGAATAAGAAAAATTTATACCAGTAGTTACTGCTAAAATAATCTTTTTTACTTTGTAAAATAAATCTCAAAAGATGGAAGAGCCGTTAAAGAGTATCTAACTGAATGATTTTTAAACAAGGGCCTGAGTGCTCATTCATCCTTTCCCAACCCAGCTTCACCAAATACCATTACCCAAATCAAAACAGGTTTGCTATTATTAGTTTTCTATATTATGCATTAAAATAATATTTGTTTCTGATTGAATAAAAAATTATTTGTAACTTTTCAGAAACAAATCAACACTACTGATCTAATTTAACCCTCTAGAGAAATTTTACCTTTCAATTTCTATTTTTCCTGGACTAACATTAAATTGGTTTTTATCCTCTAAACCAACTGAACATATGAAGCTACAAAGTCTAATAAGGTAGTCACTAGTCACCTGTATGTATTAAGCACTTGATATGTGGCTAATCCAAATTGAGACGTGTCGTAAGTATAAAATAAATACCAGATTCATAGACTTAGTACAAAAGTAAAAAGAAAAATGCCTCATAATTGCTTATATTAGTGACATACTGAAAAAAATATTTTGGATATACTGAGTTAAAAATGAATTGTTAAAAATAATTTTACCTGTTTTTTCATTTTTTAAAACTCTGGCTACTAGAATACTTAAAATTGCACATGTGGCTCACATTTGTTTTTGCATTATGCTTTCATTGGTCAGCAGTGGTATAGAGAAATATCTCTGAATTCCACTAAATGGAGAGTAAAGTCATCTTGGGTTTAAAGACTCACCACTAGTAATTTACAAAGTTTACAGACTATTCAATTATGTCTATAGTATGATTATATGTAAAGTAGATATATGAAAATTTTGTGAGTTTTTCTGAGCCCCGAATATGAAATGCTACTAGAGATTATAATCATGAAGTGCACAACTAAAAAGGAGAGATTACTAAAATCAACTTGAAAATGCAAGTGGTTTGCCTTTGTGTTCTGCGTGAATAAAAAGCATAAAATAAAAAAAAAATTTTTTAATTAAAAAAACGAAAAAAAAAAGAAAATGTGAGTGGTGAGTATTCAGCAAAGCTACTCATTAGCTCTTGCATAACATAGTGGTAGCATAATTCAAATCCGAGCCTCAGCAAAATGACAAATTACCACATCCTGCATCTTCAGTTCTCTGTGTTGACCAGAAAATAAAAGGCACTCACCAGTATCTAAGAGTTAGGAAGGAGTCCACAGATGGACAAGTGCTGTGTTTCTTCTGTTAATAATGGAATTAAAAGGTTAAAAACTAACAATGATTTTAACTCAGTTCACAGAAAAAAATTAGCCTAAATAATTCTTTTCTTTCACAGGCTTTTCTCTTTAGTTTCACGAACTCTTTGAAACCTCTTTCTCCTTGTTCCCTAGTAGCATAAGCTGAAAACAAATGAAGTTATTAAAAAGTTAATGAATTTCGATGGAAAATATAATCAAGATTAATTTAGATTTCCTTTTTATCAACATCTGTACTAATGAGTTTTCTGAAAACTTTCAAATATCCATAATTATTTAAAAATTAAAGTATTTCTGGTTCATATAATAGAGTTGTTGTTTTTATTGTTACTTTTCTCATGTTCTACCAGAAGTACCAGGACTTTAAAACATACTGTCACCAGAGCAAGGATAAAAAACATGTGATAACAGGTTAGATTTAGTGTGATTCTTTAGGAATGAAAAGATTCTTAATACCTGAGAAGGCATTCATTTTACTTGGATTGTTCAGAGTAAGAATACCAATGCCATTGTCTTCCTTCTGAAGGTCAACAGTTCCACCAGGAAACTGCTGAAGTTTTTTTTTCACTTCTTCCTCATAAAATCCATGGGCTGTATTATAAAGTGACAATCCTGTTTGATGTAGCAATTTTGTCCTTACAGACAGAGGCGATGTCTTCAAAAGACCTGTTGTCATTTCTGGAAAAGAGAAATAAGTATGCAATAGCACAGATTAATAGGCACTCACTTTTCTAATAATATGTGTTAATAGGCTGTAGTAATGGACACTTCTGGTGGATTGTGAATACTTCCCCTTTTCTTTCTTTTTCTTTTCTTTTTTTTTTTTTTTTTTTGAGACGTAGTTTCGCCCTGTTGCCCAGGCTGGAGTCCAGTAGAACAAATTCGGCTCACTGCAACCTCTGCCTCCCGGCTTCCAATGATTCTCATACCTCAGCCTCCCAATTAGCTGGGACTACAGGGGCCCGTCACCACACCTAGCTAATTTTTGTACTTTTAGTAGAGGCAAGGTTTCACCATGTTAGCCAGGCTGGTCTCAAACTCCTGATTACAAATGATCCACCCAACTTGGACTCCCAAAGTGCTGAGATAATAGGTGTAAGCCGTGGCACCTGGCCACTTCCCCATTTTTTTAAAAGCACTGTTTCAGGAAATGATCAGTATGAAATTCCTTTCATTTTTCCCTCCTTCTCAAATCAAATAATTCACAAAGCATATCATTTCAGTATGTATCAGTGAGAGATAACAGAATAATTACAGTATCTTTACCATGCTCCAATACAATAGGAAGGCTTAGAAAAAAATACTGCTCTGTATTTTGCACCATCTCCTGCCTCCAGGTAGTCTTTTGCTTCAGATTCTTCTCTATTCTTCAACCCTTAACTTTTTCAAAATCTAAAAGTAAATATAGTCCAAGTATCCCCTTGGAAACAGCCACTATGCAAAAATGCTGCAAGAGCAATCCCACTCTCCAACAGAAATTTTATTCTTGGCATTATTCTTACCTTCTGCAAAGCCTTCAGGCTGGAAGGGTCCTAAGAAAAAGCTGGAAAGGGTCCTAAGAAAAATGGGGAAGGATATAAGAATGTGTGTGTAACTACAATATTAAAGACACCAAGATGTTTCTTAAATCTCCTCAAGGAGACTGAAGTGTTAACTCATAAACTGTGACCTAATACACTACATTAGGGTTTAGCAAAAAAAAAATTGCAAGATGATTGTTATCTTAAAAAATGATATCTAAGAATCAAAACTTGATGTTACTTTTCCAAGAAAAAAAGGTATTCTAATTTGCCATCATAAGTCTTTGTTGGGACCTGCTTTTAACTGTCATAACTTTATTATTTCCCTTAATGTCAAATTCCTCCTGGTCTTTGTATCCTCCCTCCCTCCCACCAAAACAGTCACCAGTTGCCAGCTGCTAGGGTTACCGAATAAATAATGAAAGCACTGGGTGGTCACCCACCACTTAATGAATTGTGATTAACAAGATTTGGATCGGGCCAGGTGTGGTGGCTCACGCCTGTAATCCAAGCACTTTGGGGGCCAAGGTGGGTGGATCACCTGAGGTAGGGAGTTCAAGACCAGCCTGACCAACATGGTGAAACCACGTCTTAAAAAAATAAAAAAATAAAAAATAAAGAAATATTTTAAAAAAAAACTAAAAAACAAGGTTTGGATCAATTTGATGTATAGAAGCAATAAGCAAGGAAAGTGACCAAATGTTACAAGTTGCAAAATACCTAAATATTTAGTATTTTGAATACTGTTAGATATAGTGATCCTCAAGTTTCTCTACAAAGAATCAGTATGTCAGTATGTTCAGCTCTCTTATTCTTTAATTCTCCATTTTTAAGTTGAACTTCCTTGTAGTTTGAGTAAACAACCTTTTCCACCAGTTCTAATCAGTAGTTCATATCTGTTCCCCCAGTCTCCTGCTCTGTCCTGACTCATCCTGGTCACTTGCTCCTGTCACCTGCTTTGACTCCGGGCTACCTGCTCTGACCTGCCCGTAACCATTCTTCCTGCCAAACTACCCACCTCCACTACTCTGGCTCATACCCCTGCTCCCTTTAAAATAGCCAATTGGAATTAGACTAGACTATGTGGTCTAACTCTAGCCAATAGGGGAATGACACAGCAGTAGGAGCAACCTACATCAGGCATAAGTACCCCTTCCCCTTCCTTGTCCAGGTGTGTGCCCGCCATTGTTCAGTCTGTGAGCCACACCTTTCTATATAAGTAAATTGCCTTGCTGAAAAAATTTATCAAGGGCTACTTCTTTTGTGGCACCAAAAATTTTAATTATAACAATACTTTAATGTCTTCATCTATTGCCAATTCCATACTCCTTTTCCAAAATTCATATAGTATACCTTGTGTGACATCCTTCCATCCCATCACCTGTTCTGTCAAATTAGAAAATGATAAGGTATTAACAGATTTTAAGGTATCTAAGGCCTCCTGAAGACCTAGAAAGCTAGAGGGAACAATTATCAAACATGAGCTTGCAACATTTCAGGATATTTTCAGTAAACTCAAGAGACCTTGCAAGATTTTTTAAATACACTTCAAAATAAAGGAACCTAATTAGAACATAGAAATGTATAGTAATACAATAAAGGCAGAATAAAAGGTGATATCCTAGATGTTCCCACCATCTAATTTAGTGCAATAATAGGTACTTTACCAGTACTACATGAAATTACTGGGCATATAAAAGAATGAGAGGATACTGTGAAACTAAATAAAATTTTTAAATGTCAAAGAAATTACTGCCATATACTTAAATAATAAATTATTTCATTTTAAACAAATTACTCATTTGTAAGATTTTCCTCCAAATATTATTCTCATTTGTTGAATATTATTCCCCATATTTAACTTATTTCTTTCCCTTATATATCTCCAGTACCCAAAACTGCAGTCTGGTTCAAAGACCTATCTTCCTCCTTTCCAAGAGGGAAGCAAAAGTTTTGTCTATGGAAAGAAAATATTTCTGAAATTATTATCATTAGTTATGCACCATCATTAGAAAATGAACTATTCTTGTCAAATAAACTATCTCTTTAACTGGAAAGCAAAAGTTTCCTGGGAAAGAATGAATTATTTTGTTGAGAGTTTTCTTGCTCTAAGGCACATGGAATTGTATTTTTAAAATATTTTACCATGAAGGAGAAATAAACTGATAAGCATAGAAAATTGAGGTCTATGAAAAATGAAAGGGGTCAGGGGAGTTTTACAAATGAAATGTTGTTACCAATTAAAAAGTATGACACGGTTATAAAAAAAACACCAAGGCTTAGACACTTCCTATCATTCAAATGGAAATGTCAAGTTGCCTCAAAATCTCTTAGCTAGTAGAAGAAACCTAAACTAAAAATTTCAGACATTATTGAGAAATGCCAAGCAATTGGGCTTGAAACAAATTAACCACACTGAGGACTAAACTCTGATTTTTTTTTTTTAATCTAGCTGATATTCCCACCTAAAGGGTCTAGGGAGTCATGCCCAACAAACCATAAATTCTCATCAGGTGGTTTTTATTTGACCCTATATATCTTGACTTACTTTTCAATCTGACCCTGGCATAACATTAGGAGCCAAGAAAAAAAATTTAATCCCAAAATATATTTCCTTGACATTCTTTAAAATTGCTCTGTAAACTCTCCTGTGGGAAAAATCCACATTCTATGGAGCATCCCCTTCCTTCTTTGTTTTTCTTCCTTTCTTTCCAGATCCAGGAGAAAATCAACTAAGAGCCAGGCACCCTTTTAGGTCTGAGAAGAAATAGTTTACAACCTGCTCTCTCTGAAGTCTGCTGAGAGATTCCTCTGCACAAAAAAACTGGTCTCCACAATCCTTTTAATCTGAACATTCTTTTTTATGAATCCCAGGTCTTTAGACAAACTCAACTAACTGTCAACCAGAAAATGTAAAAATTTACCTATAGCCTGGAAGCACCCCCACTTTAAGTTGTCCCACCCTTCTGAACCAAACCAACTTATTTCTTAAATGTATTTGATTGATGTCTCATGCCTTCCTAAAATATGTAAAACCAAGTTGTACCCCAACCACCTTGGGCACATGTTCTCAGGACCTGAGGGCTGTGTCACAGGCCATAGGCACTCACATTTGGCTCAGAATAAATCTCTTAAATATTTTACAGAGTTTGACTCTTTTCATCATCAATACCTATATTCTCATGACAGGATATATTTATTAAGTTTTTTTGTAATCTCCATTCATAATCATAATCATTCCATACTCAACCACCATTCTTTCTGTTTCACCTTTCCTTTTACTACCCTTTGAATTAGAACCAAGTTCACTGGTCAAAGTCTGTGAGAAAAATAGGAAAATATACCAAACTATATAATTCAAAATGAGTTCTGAAGCTTTCTTTGCTTTTTTTTTTTTTTTAAGGAAAAGGAAGGGGAGGAGGGGAGGAGGAACTCTTTGCTTTTTTAAAGACAGATTTTTAAAAACATAATAACTTGGCCAGGCGCGGTGGCTCACGCCTATAATCCCAGCACTTTGGGAGGTCGAGGTGGGTGGATCACGAGGTCAAGAGATCAAGACCATCCTGGTCAACAAGGTGAAACCCCGTCTCTACTAAAAATACAAAAATTAGCTGGGCAAGGTGGTGTACGCCTGTAGTCCCAGCTACTCAGGAGGCAGAGGCAGGAGAATTGCTTGAACCCAGGCGGCGGAGGTGGCGGTGAGCCAAGATCGTGCCATTGAACTCCAGTCTGGGTAACAAAAGCGAAACTCCGTCTCAAAAAAAAAAAAAAAAAAAACATAATAACTGGACTAGCAAGTAAGGCAAATATTTCAAAAGAGGATAGTATTCTTTCTTGGATTATTTAAAGTACATTTTAACTAGACATTTAGCTGCATTCTCAGAAATAAAAAGTTATTGGTTTCTTGGCATATGGGCCATTACATTTGTACTTATATGTAGATTTTTATGGCCAGGAAATGGCCATAGACACATATGCATATGTTAAGAGCATTTGGTAAGAGGTAATTCTGTAGCAATTCAATGGCTATTTATATTGAATTCCTATTAATGATCATGCCATTGTTAGCTATTTCAGAGAGAAATAAAGCATCTTTAAAAGTTTTCCGTTTTGGCAGAGAAACAAAATATGCACAAAATATGAAAATAGAGCAAAGTCTCTCCTTTTATTGAGCTTTGCTAGAGTGTGCCATTAAATTTAATGTAATCTTAACTTCATAAAAGGATATCTTTTTTTTCCACCAGTAAACTCTGATCACGTAGTCTAAGGATTTTCTTTAGGTATAAATGGATTCAATAACATTAAATCAGTGCATTGAATTATGATGCATTATTGTGAGGAAAGAGACCCAGGCATCTGGGATCAACTTCCCCTTTGACTGCCACACTGCATTTCAATAGAAGAAAAGGCTGACCGACTGGCGCCTCTTGATTCGCCTTCCTGTAGGTGGCGGGCTTGGTCTTGGGGAAACTCTCCAGAAGGCACTGTTTTTACTTAAAACAAGATCAAACCCAAGACCTTTTCACTTGTGAATCCTAAAGCTGTAAACCCGAAACCCTTTTTTTTTTATTAAATAAAATTTAATAATAATGTATTAGAACTCAGGACAAGAGAAATTTATGAATGACCAGGGATGCCTGGGAAATACATATGGATCAGATGTTAGAGCTAAGGAATCAGTAGGAAAAATGGCCGTTAAGTAGAGAGAGAATATTATTTACAGTAGGAAATGAAGGTCACATGCAATTAAAATATGACCTGCTCATTGAGTGTGAATGAAACGTATTGATCCTATATTTTAAGATTTTACATGAAGAATCCTGAAGGAAATGCTAAGTTAGGACTTTATTCTGTGATTAATGGTTAGTCTCTAAAAGTTTTGGGAAATGGGGGTGATGGTTCCCCATGAACAAAAGTCTATAGAAGTTTTGTGGTGGCTGTAATATTCACAGATTGAAAAATGTCAAGGGCCACAATTAAATTCTTATTTCTACCCATCATTCTCAAACATACGTTGTCTTTGTGGCAAATAAGGATGTAATTAATAATAAATTCCCTTAGGATCTGCTCCAAAGACAACCTTTTTTTTTTTTTTTTAAGAAAGGAGAGAAGCAAAGAAAAAAAAAGGAGTAAAGGAGAAGAACAAAGAGGAAGAAAAAGAGGGAGAGAGAACAGTAATACTGCTTTATTCTAAAAATGGGTATTGAAAAACCTCTTTTATGGCAATAATTGTGCTTAATAATAGCCGATCAATATTTCATTTAAAGCTATAAGTAGGTGCGATGTGGCACTGACAAGAATGTACACCTTATGTATTTAAAGTGGAGAGCTCTATAAATGCCTATCAAATTTACTTGTTCCGGATCTGAGTTCAAGTCCTGGACATCGAAACCCTTTCATATGTGATTTCTAAAGCTGTAAACCCGAAACCTTTTCACGTGAGTCCTAAACCTGTAAATCTTCATATGTAATTTCTAAGGCTGTAAACCGAAGATTCTTCCATGTGTAGTATCTAAAGTATAAACCTATATGAAGGCAGAACATTCCTTTGTTAGACGAGCTGGGAATTTGGAGCCATCGCCTGGCTCCCGACCATAATATTAATAATAATAATGAAAAACCTTTTCCGGCTGGGCACGGTGGCTCACGCCTGTAATCCTAGCACTTTGGGAGGCCGAGATGGGTGGATCATCTGAGGTCAGGAGTGCAAGACCAGCCTGGCCATCATGGTGAAACCCCATCTTAAAAAAAATAATAATAAAATAAAATAAAATAACTTTTCCTCCCCCATTCGGTGTTCGGGAGCTCTGTTTCTCACGACCACTCCTGCTACATTTTCCCTTCATTCTAATTTTTAAAATTCTAAGCAGAAGTACAACCAAAATCAAGCAACATACCAGCTTTGCTAGGGAGTAAATATCAAATGTATACTCCCCCACACACATATATGAAACCAGATTTATCAAATATATATATGTAACCAGAATTTTTGTGGTTATAAAACAGTGCAATACTAGTGTTTCACAGCTATTACTTTTGTAACAAATGACTTTTGTTCACTGACTTGAAATTTATGTTACATTTTGCAAGAAAGAAAATAAACACAGATGTGAAGAATGAAGAAAAATATCAGTTGAGTCACCTAACAGGTGCTGAAAAAGTTTCAGAATACAGGTATGTTCTATTTCTTAACCAAATAATGCATCTGAAGAAAGAGACCCAAGCATCTAAGATCACATCCCCCTTGACTTCCACACTGCATTTCAATAGAAGAAAAGGCTGGCCTCCTTATTCCCCTTCCTATAGAATCAGGGACAGTATGGGGGAATCTTTACGGAAGGCATCGTTTTTACTTAAACAAGATCAAACCCCACTTCACTCCTACTCCATCAACCAAGACCCTTTAACTTACAATTTCTAAAACTGTAAACCCAAGACCCTTTCACGTGTAATATCTAGAGTTGTAAGCCTATATAAAGGCAGAGCTTCTCTTTGTTAGACAACCTTGGCTGTTAACCATGTCACCTTACACCCAGCTGAAATACATCACCTCTTACTTCCTAGTTCAGTGTCCGAGATCTTGGCGCTCCCGCTTCACATCCACAGGTATTTATTTTCTTTTTCTTTAAACTCATCTTATACATTTTACTCTCTATATATGTGTGCTACATTTACTTCTCAGGAAACTTTTTTTTAATTGAGGAATATCATTCCGAATATTGACAGATGTCCTGTTCAGGAAATTTCTCATTTCCTAAACTGCTAGTTGCAAAGTTAGTTTCTTAAGAACTCTACTTCTTCAAACAGAAATGTAAAGAAAGAACACAAATATTGACTCAGTAGGTACCGATGATAATTAAAGATTAGAGATGTCTGAAATCTCTTTGTTGACAATTCTGGCAGCTAAGCAAGAGTCCTTATTAAAGGTAATGATATTTCTTAATAATTCATGCACAACCAGAAAACATAACAGAAAGGTACATATGAGATAAGTTGTAGTATTTTAGAGATAATCAGGACAGGGACTACATCTTATTCACAGCTCTTAGCACAGTATTTTACATTAAATTTTTGTGGAACTAAATGACACACATGTCGTTATTACTATATAGGTATTACTGTAGCTAGTCATTTCTAAAATAAAGACCTATGTTTACAAAATAATAAAAAAATAACTATTTCAGTCCAGGCACAGTGGCTTGCGCCTGTAATCCCAGCACTCTGAAGACCAAGGTGGGTGGATCACCTAAGGTCAAGAGTTCGAGACAAGCCTGGCCAACAGGGCAAAACCCCATCTCTACTAAAATACAAAAATTAGCTGGACATAGTGGTGGGCACCTGTAATCCCAGCTACTCAGGAGACTGAGGCAGGAGAATCACTTGAACCCAGATGACAGAGGTTGCAGTGAGCCAAGGTCTCGCCACTGCACTCCAGCCAAGGTAACAGGGTGAGACCCTCCAGATCAGACAAAAGAAAGACTGAAAGATTTCACTGTAGGGTTTTTAAGAAATGCAAACCCAGGATATGTGGCTACAAGTGAGGGTATCATATTCAGCCAAATAAATTGTTTCAATGGCCTCTGGTCAGCTTGCCAAAGAGCCACAACTTCTCCATCCATCACTCCCAGCTGAGGAATCTCTACTGCTCTTAAGCATGTAATAAAAATCAGAAGCATTTGATTTCAGACTGTCTATATTATATATCACCCGTTTTTAAAGTTCTGATTCGGTTTTAGGCTGTCATAATATAAACTACCTTTCAAGGTTCATTACATGTCACCCACACAACTCTTGCCCTCACACAGCCAAAATGCACAACTTTCAGTTCCTGAAATCTTTATGATTTTCTCGCCATTTCAAGCTTTTGCATATATGATGTTACCTTTTTGTCTTCCTGAGAGTAACTTCCAATCATCTCCTCTAACATCTAGACTACATAAAGTCCCCTTACTGTCTACTCTCACATTGTATCTTTCATCACCATTCTCACTCACGTTTTGCTGTAATTAGTTCTTTAACCAGTTCTTCCCATTAGATTTAATTGCAAGACGGCATTTGCAGTGCCTAATGACAATTTTCTTAAGGTTAAATTCCATGCAAGGGTTTAAAAATCTGGCCACAAATCAACCCTGCAACTGCCCTGTTTATTATTCTCCCAACTCACCCAGTTTCAACACAAAGCCTCTTCACAGGCTGGCTTCCCTTCCCAGAATGTTAATCACCTCAGGCGTCCCAGATGATTATACAGTCACCATTCAGACCAGAACCCAATAAGAAGTCAAGAAAGGATCACCCGTTTTATTACGAGGCTGCTCCCTCCCCTCGTAGGTTTCACAAACATACATATCATCGCAAGCTTGGCTCTCTGTTTTTACTATCCTTGTCCAGTTCCTCTCTATACTACTAGCACCTAGAGCCAGATACAGGGGACTCCCAGATGTGGAATAGAGAAAAGAACAAAGGGAGTGTTGATTTAGACGTTGCCGGAAGTCCTTAACAGCCCCTTCAACCTATAACTTAACTGTGGTTTTAATCCCCTACATGTGTAATCCCTGTACGTGTGTGCAGCGTTAAAAGGATTACTGCAGCTCAAAAATTCTCCAATGAAAAACCTCTACCAGAATGGAATTGCTCATTTTTCGTTCTTGAAGAGTTGGCTGCACGATACAAATAAGTTTTAGTTAAGCAAAACAATTTTATACATAAAAGACAATTATAGAGGTCACAGAGAACATTACCTAACTTAGCAGTGCCTTGATATTCCAAAATTAAATCAGTGTGTAGAAAGCAAGCCTCCTTATGCTCTTAAAAGTGTAAGGACGCGATCTCTCCGCTTGCTCCAGCAAGACCTATTCATCTCTTTCCCACGCCCTCCTTCCCCTCGTCGGCCCGTGGCGCTAGGCACCGCGTCCCCACGTCTAGCAGAGGGCAGGACTGCGCGGCGCTTGTACCGGACAAGCCGCGGAGCTGGCGAAGCTCGCCGTGTGGGATACGTTTGGAGAAGGGAGCACTAAAGTCCATTCCACGGCGATATTGTAGAATTTTGCCACTGACAACACTTAACTGAAGTCCTAAGGCCAACTCTTTCGACCACACAGCCTCGCAGGCCGGGGCGATGACTTCCTTTTCCGTTCCCCTACACACGCTTTTCAGCTTTGAGTGCCTTTATTTCCGCTCCCCTCCGGAACCTCCTCTGCGCCGGTGCTCCGTTCCGGTATGTCCCTTCCTCTTCTCCGCGTCGCCCCGTTTACGATCCCACGCTCCTCCTTCCTCTCTGGGGGACTTTATTCCGTTTCCCTGCAGGCTCTCATGACCCCGGAAATCCCGCCCCCGCCGCGAGGAGCCTTCCTGCAGCCACGTCCCTCCTTCTAGGGCAGCGAGTGAGCCCGGGTTGGCGGACTCGTGTAGTACTTGCTTCGCGTTTTCGCTTTTCCCATACTGGCTTAGCGCTTGGAAGGGAGACCGCCGAACCCTGCTTGTTTTTGCTCCAATAGACGTGAGGAAAAAGAAAGGCAAAGAAGCCTATGTAGGCAAACAGCGAGAGGGGAGAGGACCGAAAGGTACCGAAGGCCGACCCTTTCTAGAGATCTCTTCTGAGTTATTGAGGGGAAAGGGTATTTAGCTAGTTTTTTGTTTTTTTTTTAACCCGAAAAACTAGTGTGTGTCCTGAATGTGTGGATGTGACATGGTGTTTTTAAAAGCTCAGTAAGCGGCCGGGTGCGGTGGCTTACGCCTGTAATCCCAGCACTCTGGGAAGCCGAGACGGGCGAATCACTTGAGGCCAGGAGTTCAAGACCAGCTTGGCCAAAGTGGTGAAACCCCCATCTTTATTTTGAAAAAAAAAAAAAAAAAAAAAAAAAAAATCAAAAACGCTCAGTAAGCTTAAAATTTGTGCCAATACATTTTGTATGCCGCAGACGGGAAGTGCTTTGGAAGACCGCCTGAAAGGGGAGGTCATTTTACACCAATATTGAGACGTTTTGTCAGAGTCGTGGGACTAAGGTAGACCTTAGGTAGTCGATGTCAAAGATAAGCACAGCTGAACGTTAAGGCGGTGAAAAGATTTATTCAGTTAACTACTGACAGGAAACGGTGAAAACATTTTATTCTGTTAACTACTGACAGGAAAGAGCTGAGCTCTATTTCAATTTGTGCAGAAGTGATCTGGGCATTTTAAAAGGAGAAAGGGGATGTGCGGGAGCTCAGTAGAGAAAGTGAAAACGTACAGAGCTGTTAGTGTAATTTGTGTGTGTGTTTAACAGTTAACTAAGTTACGATTGTATCATCCTACGGAGGAATTATCCTTGATTACATTTCTTTTTTTTTTTTTTTTTTTTGAGATGGAGTTTCGCTCTTGTTGCCCAGGCTGGAGTGCAATGGCGCCATCTCGGCTCACCGCAACCTCTGCCTCCTGGGTTCAGGCAATTCTCCTGCCTCAGCCTCCTGAGTAGCTGGGATTACAGGCACGCGCCACCATGCCCAGCTAATTTTTTGTATTTTTAGTAGAGACGGGGTTTCACCATGTTGACCAGGATGTTCTCGATCTCTTGATCTGGTGATCTACCCGCTTCGGCCTCCCAAAGTGCTGGGATTACAGGTGTGAGCCACCGCTCCCGGCCCCTTGATTACATTTCAAGGGAATGGCTCTCAGGTCCTTGAGAGAGAACTTCTGAATGGCAAGAAATAAGCATTTACAATTGCAAGCCCTTTAGTAAATGTTCTAAGAAAGGAAGGTCAGAGACCAATCATCAGTTGTGTGCTGGTTACATCACGTTGTTCAGCTTTCTTAAGCAGTCGTCCTGGGCACAGGGCCTTATCCTGCTAAAGCTGTGCTAGAGTTTGGGCAAGTCTCTGAGCGCAGGGGTTTGGATGGAATAGTCACGTTTGGGCAAGTCTCTGAGCACAGGGGTTTGGTGGAATAGTCACATGCCTGTAGTTCTGCAGTGGTCATAGGTAAGATCTGACTAAGTACAGGGAATATTCTAGTGGGAGGAACAGAATGTGTCAATGCGCCGAGCAGGAAGGATAAAGCTTTAGGATACGGAGATGTGTATGATAGGAGTTAAGTGGGAGCCCAGTTTGCACTGATTGGAAGAAGCCATTATTAGCAGTACCATATTTAATTCCAGTTTATTATATAATGAGCAACTTAAGCCATTACACTCTTGAACAAGAAAGTCACTTGATTAAATGATGATTTGGAAGAATTTAATCACTTTGCAGAGTGAGTGGGGATGACTAGATATATGATTTATGCTGTAAGTCTGTATATGGATATGTGATACTTCAGCCTTCCAAGGTTGGCACTTCTTTGTGTACCTCCCTGATAGTACCTTGCTTAAGTAAGTAGAAAACAAAGGGTAGGATTTCTTTGGGGATACTATCTCATGCTTTGTCTTTTTCCCATGGATTTAGTTACTTGGCAGTTCTCAAACAATTTTCTCTCAACAAGTTGAGGAGATAAAATGTGTAAAAAAAAAATATATTGAAACTATCACAAGAGGACCAAAGCCCAGTAGGAGTTTGGAGGAGGGAAAAAGCTTGGCAGCTAGTGAAAATTCAAGGAGGATGGCACAAAAGACATATTTTCAGTACTGTAACTATTTAATATACTAAGAGATAAAACAGCATTTTTTTTTACTCCCACTTAAGTAATGCCTATTTACCCACAGCTGTGGTAGTATAATTGGAAGCAGATGAGGATCTGCAATGAGGTATGTTCAGTGGTGTTAGGCAGTATACTAAAATAATGACTTCTGTTAATATTGGCTTGTATTTCATGCAGTTACCCCTAGACCCATATGTGCATTAGTAATTAACTCTGATAAATTGGAATAGGCTTTGAGACTAAACCGGTAAAGATATTTAAGCATCCGGAGAAGACAGGCACATGGGATCTAGGAGGGCCGAGACCAAAATATCTGGTACTTACTACACATACCCTGGAGAAAGAGGGAATGTTTTCAAACCCAAGACTTAGTCTTCCTCATTTAAAAAAATTTCCTCCAATAATATTCTGATGGCTTATTTATATGTGTAGCATTTTGGTTTACTGCACATACAACTTACTATAAAAATACCTTTCACTGCAATAAACATTGTGCTAAACTGCAAACTGGAGGTTAATGTACTATAGTGCTTCCTTGCAGAGCCACTGAGAAAAGCTACAGGATCTCTGATGGCTGTGAACTTAGGTCATGGGCACTCAGAAAATTTGCATAAAAATTCCTATGCCCTATCTGAAGTGTGGAATTAGAAAGCTACAAGATTTGGCTGGGCATGGTGCTCACACCTGTAACCTTAGCACTTTGGAAGGCCAGGATCAAAGTAGATCACCCGAGGTCAGGAGTTCGAGGCCAGCATGGCCAACATGGTGAAACCCTGTCTCTACTAAAAATACAAAAATTAGCTGGGCATGGTGGTGGGTAGTCCTAGCTACTCTGAAGTCTGAACCTGGGAGGTGGAGATTGCAGTAAGCCGACATCACACCACTGCACTGCAGCCTGGGTGACAGAGTAAGACTCTGTCTCAAAAAAGAAAAAGAAAGCTACAGGACTTGAAGAGGTTATGCAAACTGGAGTTGTATGGATTTCAGCAATGGATTTCAGCAATAATGTAACTGTGTTTTTCTCAGGGACTGGATTGCCTGCCTTTGCACAATTATATAAACCTCTCAGAATATTGCTGCAATACCAGGGCAAGCAGCAGCAACACTAAACATCTGAGATTAAAATTGTCCATTGTCCAGGAAGAACTGAGTCATCACAATAGAAACTAAGCCAAAGGAAAGGAAAATTAAATTCCTTTAATACTCCAGTTTATGGCTTGAGATTTATACCTGTTCTGTGTGGCTCCTTGTTTTCTCTCTCTCTCTCTCTCTCTGTGTATTTTTCTTTTTTTTTTTTTTTTCTTTCTTTCTTTATTTTTTTTTAAAGACAGGGTTTCACCATGTTGATCAGGCTGGTCATAAACTCCTGACCTCAGGTGATCCGCCCACCTTGGCCTCCAAAGTGCTTGGATTACAGGCGTGAGCCACCTTGCCTGGCCTGTGTATGTGTATTTTTCTAAATTATAGTTTGTTATATGAACCATTGCATACATTTTTATCTCCCTCAATGCTCTAGAAGTTAGGCATTTTGCTTTTGATTGTATTATAATTATTCACATTTTCTTTTTTTTTTTTGAGATGGAGTTTCACTCTTGTTACCCAGGCTGGAGTGCAATGGCGCCATCTCGGCTCACCGCAACCTCCGCCTCCTGGGTTCAGGCAATTCTCCTACCTCAGCTTCCTGAGTAGCTGGGATTACAGGCACGCGCCACCATGCCCAGCTAATTTTTTGTACTTTTAGTAGAGACGGAGTTTCACCATGTTGACCAGGATGGTCTCGATCTCTTGACCTCGTGATCCACCCACCTCAGCCTCCCAAAGTGCTGGGATTACAGGCGTGAGCCACCACGCCAGGCCCGATTATTCACATTTTCTAAGAATCTCTCAAAGCAATGTATAAATTTGCAATTTACTCCTTTCTTTTTAAACATAAAGAATTTAACATTTTTACTTTTACCTTCCTTTCTCTTCTTCACTCTGTGTTATATAATCTGGTATTTGAAACCTAAGTTATATTTTTAAAAACTTATCTTATACTAATGTGGTTTGGCTGTGTCCCTATCCCAATCTCATCTTGAATTGTAGCCCCCATAATTCCCACATGGTGTGGGAGTGACCTGGTGGGAGATAATTGAATCATGGGGACAATTTCCCCCATACTGTTCTCATGGTAGTGAATATGTCTCACAAGATCTGATAGTTTTATAAGGGGAAACCCCATTTGCTTGGTTCTCATTCTCTCTTTCCTACCACCATCTAAGGCATGCCTTTCACCTTCTTCCATTATTGTGAGGCCTCCCCAGCCACGTGGAACTTTGAGTCCATTAAACCACTTTTTCTTTATAAATTTATCTAGTCTTGGGTATGTCTTTATCAGCAGCATGAAAATGGACTAATACATATACATTGTATATCTTCTTTATTGCTCAATAATCATTTTTCAAAGTTGAATTTACTGTTCTATATCACATTAAAATAATTTAGACTTAATCCTATATCTAAAGCCATCAATTGTTTTATATGCCCACTTCAAACTTTTATTTGGATTCAGCTCTTATTTAGTTACAAAGGGGCTTACAATTTTTATTTGTTTCTTTGTTTTTCTTTTTTTGTTTTTCCTGAGAAATACATATATTGCCTATTTCCTGAGTGCACGGACATTTGAAGCTGTCTCTTTCTTTTGCTCCCACATGAACTTCAACTTGGCTGGCGATCAGTTCTTGGGTCTTAC